GTAGCCGACCCCACGTAGTGGGATTAAGACTTTGTTGTTGTTGTTTGTTGTTGTTGGGCATTTACATACATACCACCCAATTCCTATATTGTTGGCATTTACATACATACCACCCAATTCCTATATATTTACATATCTAAAATTTAAACTTTGTTTTTTTATTTTTTACATTTATACCATCTAGATCTCTCATCACATAAAAAATATCGTCATTTAACTTCTAAAAAGTGAATACATATTTTCATGCAAAGATAAGGTGGTATGGTATGTATGTAAAAATTAAAGTTTCGGTGTCACACATGTAAATGCATAGAAATCGAGTGGTATGTATGTAAATCATCCTTAACTCTATAAAATAGATGCACACGCTCTCTCTCTTGCTAAGATGTTAGTTTATAAAAGCATTTACCATAAAATTTATAGGCTGAATCAAAGCATGCATTCATGATAAATTGGTTTATAATTCTATATTAATATCAATGCTCCCTGGAAAAATTATTTTCCCTCATCTAAAAGGCTTAGGCAGGGATGCTTATTGTCCCTAATCTATTTTCCATTATCATGGACTGCTTCTCCTGTCTTCATGACTAAGCTAGCGCCAACAAGTAGTCTGAATCAAAGCAGAAATAAAAAGGAAAAAAAGAGAAAACTAATAGAGGAGCTAAAAATAAAATTTGTATCTCTCCAATTATACTAGTAACTGTGCATGTGCGGCTACCTTCGTGTCAGTTGCATGTTGGATTATGGAAATTGAAATGAATTCCACTATACCACTCTATAAGTTTAAAAAAGAAGATTTACACATACTAGTCAATTCTTATGCATTTACATCTCTAACACCTAAACTTCATTTATTACATATGTATACCACCTTACCTATGCATGAAAAGATGTATTTCACTTTTTAAAAGTTAAAATAGTTATATTTTTGATGTGATAGGAAAGATTTGGGTTGTATATTTGTAAAAACTAAAGTTTAGGTTTTAGAAATGTAAATAGATAGGAATTGGTTGGTATGCACGCCAATGCTCCTTAAAAAAATGAGTTAGAATTCATCAAAGGCATCCAAATTGCATTTAAAGGCCTCAATTACTAACTGGACATGTTAGGTAAGGGTTATTGGAGAAGGTCTGAATTCAAAAAATAAAATAGAACAGATAAAAAGTTGATGAGTGGGAAGAATAAAAGAAAATGAGAATGGAAGGAACCATCAAAGTAAGGAGTAATAAATTCATCATCCTCAAATAATGGATTGCATGGCACACTTAGGATTATGGTCAGCTATAACTCCACGTGTCTTATTTCACAATCAATCAATAAAGAACCAATTTTTATGTGAGATTGGGCAATCATTGAATTTCTCGATTTGGAAATCAAATTGGATAGATAAGTTCCACAATCAAAAAGTCAGAATTTCAAGACACAAGGTCCCTGATCCATCACAATGATTGTTGGACACTAGCCTATTAGTTTTGGATCATATCAACTATCATTGCCTCGATCACAATTTATTAGAATAAACTAAAAATATGACACTAAATAGGACACAATGAAGAATATGGATTCAAGTCACCGACTGCAATTAGTGGGATAAAGACTTGTTATTGTTGTTGCATCCATTAAAATTGTCGTAAAACTTAGCTACATTTTGTGACAAAAAAAATTATTTCCAAAATTCATTGCAAACTCATATCAAATCAAAAATTGTGCTATTACAACTTTTTTAAAAGTGAAATGCACATTTTTCACGCATAGGTTTAAAGCACCAAAGTGCTATAAATTGTAAATATGAATGTATAGGTCCGAGATGTGTGTAAATACATAAGAATTGTGTGCCACTTATGTAAATTTCCCAAAAAGAAAACCTCTTGATCCAAATTTAAAGGACTGCCCTATCCTATGCCAAAGTTTAGACCACTAGAGAAATTGCATTGTGAGAAGATTCATCCGAAACCCTCATTGATCCTGAATTAATTTGACAATCTTCAAAAGGCAACCGCTCTCACCAACTTTCATATATAATCATCTCTAGTTCCATCAAGCATTCACCTTAACATCATTTCAACCACACTAACTTGGGAAAAAGAGCTCAAATTCACATTAATCTTCTTTTCTGCAGAGATTCAAAGAGCTATCTCCACTAAACCAGATAACAATTTTCAATGATGTAGGAAAATGTTCTTATGGTGATCGTGAATAAATTTGAATCTTCTTCCATTTCACACCACTGCAGGCAAGCTGGCTAAAAGACATGGAGTCAACCACAGCAAAAAAATCCTATTTTTGCAGCACATTAATCACATTTAAGAGATTTAAAATCGTCCCAAAGAAACGACACTATAATCTAAAAAGTCAAAGCATGCGCAGAACAACTAAATTTCAATAAATTCCAAGACTCCATAATCTAATTCCACCAAATTTCATCAGCTGCATCACAATAGCAAGCTCTAAACACATAAACGGTTCATCAAAATCATGTCAGACACCGAAATCGACAAGTTTAGCCCTAACTCAATATAAGAAGGCAAGCAAATCAGCAACTCAACCAAATTAACTTTTCGCGGGCCTTCAGTTTACTTACTCGAATACAAGTAACCCATGTCCTGATCATCGAAGATGATTGCAGCCTGGAAGCCAGCATCTTGCGCAACCCTAACCTTGCGGTCGAAGCTGCACCCGCCGCGCTCAATGAGAACAAAGCGAACGCCTGTGGTTGTGCCTACGCGATCAGCGGAGAAGTTTGTGCGCAGTGCAGAGCACGCGTCCAGGGTATTGGCGACGTAAAGAGAACCACAAGCGCCGAAGCCATCGACGGGGACGGCGAAGCGCGCGGGTGCGTCTATGAAAGTGAAAGAGAAGGAGCTGCCATGGAGGCGGACGAGGGCTGTGGCTGGGCGGAGGAGGATAAGGAGGATGATAGCGCAGATGAGTGCGGCGGTAGAATTGGGACTCGAGATCGAGGATGGAGATTGCTTCATAGTGCCAGTTCGGAACAAAGCGAATGCATAGTTTTATATCATCTACTAAAAAATTTAAGTATAACATATTAATGATCCACATTTAAAATTTTAAGCTCCAATCACCCAAAAA